GCTGCTGAGGGTTTCTCATACATGTTGGATAACGCCTTGAGCAGTCCAAACGTTGTCTTCTCGTTGACGATGTTGTAGGCAACGTTCTTCGCCAACGACAACCTCACCACACCAAGAGCCTGTCGATCCAACAAATTCCATTCCGCCTCCGTCATCGTTTCTGGTTTGTTCTCAGACAACGGTTGATGAAGCTTCTTCTGGTAGAGATAATCCTCGATCTGCATCTTCCAGAAAGCGAAATCTTGACCATCAAATTTATCGATCTTAACCTTCCCTTCGTCAGCCATAGCTCTGATACCAATTTGTTACGACTAGGCAAAGATAAACGATAAATTAAGAGCAAGAACACAAGAATTAACGTGGTTCACGCAATCGGGGTGATTACGCTAGTCCACGGCGAACGAGAGAGAGTATGTATTATTATCAGCGTCCCAAGAGGTTTACAAGTACATAAGAGTCGTTTAAATAGGTTTAAGGAAACCTAATCACAATTAAGAGCCGCAGGCCCGGAATCTAAGCCCGAATGAAAAATTTTCCGCCGACCCGGTCGGGTCCGACTTTTGACCCGGTCGGGTCTCCTTCACAGAACATAAACCCGGTAGAAACCAGGTCGGGTTTCCAAAACGGAAGGCTTCTGCCTTGCTGACCCGGTCGGGTCCCTTCCCTGACCCGGTCGGGTCTCACGTCCAGTGAGATCCCCCGGTCTGTGCTTCAACATACCCGGTCGGGTGGCCAACCATACCCGGTCGGGTATCTGCTCTGAACCTAAGAACAAGACTCCATCTTCAACAAGCACCAAACTTCTTTGTTGCAGTTGCATGTAGCTAAAAACTGCTGAAAAGAAATATTTTTTATATATTTTTACTAAAAATGCACTTTTTGTTGCAGTTTTACCTTACAACCGCAATAAAAAGTTATTTTTAATAATAATAATAATAATAATAATAATAATAATAATAATATATTTCCTTTTAAGTTTGGATGCTCAGTTGTGGTAAAAAAAAATTGACATAGCTGTTCGTGGTTTATACAACAACGTTATATTTAGAAGCTAATTTATTTTAGAATACATAGTACGTAGTATGATACTAAAAATAGGTTATAAAGCATTACTAAAACGTGGAAATTGAATTATGTAACTTTACAAAGAACTTTAGTTCATTCAATTTATAATATTATTGCATGGATCTTGAAATATGATTTCAAATAGAATGCCCAGGTCGCATAACAAAGTGTAAAATAAATTGTACAAGTACGTAGTATCTAATTTTATTGAAAAAATTGCATTTTTTTATGCAATTCTGAGTGAGAACCGCATCGGAGAACCGATTTGAACCAAATCGTCATGAGTTGACTCAATCTTGTTCATATGTTTGCGATCGAAGTCACATGCATTAAGGAACCATTATGTAAACATAATACATCACCTATAACCTCACAATTATTGTAAATGACTCCATTATGCTATGTATACACACACAAACTACTTTTCAACATATACTCAAATTACCTTAATTAGTTAAGAAGTCCTCCATATGGTCTCAATTCTCAAATAGAGGTATTATATTTAATATTTGATGACTAGGTTATCATTTAAAAGTGTTAATATAATTTCATAAAACAGAAATGACAATCTTTAGATGGATGTCTAGAGAGTTAAGTGAGAATATTTGCCCAAACCTTAAGGGACACAAAACCACACTAAGAGGCACCAGGGGCGTAGCCAGGACACTGGGCTAGACTGGGCCGGTACAAAGAATATTATTGGAAAAAAATTTACACGAAATTTTTTACACTAAAAATATTGACATTTTTCAATTTTGGAGTGGGTCAGGGCCTAGCCTGAGCACCCCTAGCTCCGCCTAAGAGCAACCCGAGACCCATCAAGGACAATGGAACAATACCTACTGACCTAAGTAAGATTTTCGCGGACATGTGCATCATGTGTGAAAATGCATATTGCGTATCTACCGTGCCCAATTGCCCATGGTGCATCCAAATGAGCATTTTCAAATGCATAACTAATGCAAGATTAATGTGGGGAGTTTGAGTTTACACCCCTAGTTTTGGACAATTCTAAACATCATTTTCAAAATCATTAATATTGCACTTTTTTAGTCCAAAATTGTGAAAAAATGATGTGCAAAGTCAAATGATTTTATAGTGATACGAGATGCATACATTAATAATTTTGAAAATGTGATATAAAATCAAATAAAGGGTGCAAAGTCAAGTTCTCCCCATTAATCCCTCCAAGATATAGCTTTGATCCATTAATCCCTCCAAGATATAGCTTTGATCTACACATAATTATGTCCGGTAATGTGTTGTTTTGATTTTCAAACACATAGTATACTCTTCCTTTATGTCATCTTTTGGTAATAAGGCTTGGATGTCATTGTTGTACTCTTACTTTATGTGAAATCAAACAAAAAATGGACACAAAATGAGGGTAGTTGTCACTTTTAAACAAAGTGATTTCCTATTATAGATAGTGTTGGATTCGGTTCGGGCCACCCGGCCCGTGGACCGGCCCGGCCTGCTACTGTGCAGGATCGGGACCGGCCCGGTTCTCGGGTCCGGGTCGAAGCCCGAACCGGGGGTGGGGGCGGGTCCAGGCTCGCGTGGTTGTTTTGGTGACCCGGCCCGGCCGGGTCGGGCCCAGGCCTAACGGTCAAAATTTAAAAAAAAAATCTTTTAAACTCTAAAGAGCCGTTTGGCTCTTGACCCACATCCCAAACGGCTATATAGCCGTTGGGTGGGTAACAGGGGGGTTCGGGGCTTTTGGGGGGTGGGGGTTAAAAAAACCCTATAAATACTCCTAATTTTAAACATTTTTCCACATCTTCTCCAACTCTTCCTAAATCCTCTCTGCTCTCTAATCATCTTCATCTTCTCAAATTCTCTTATCCTCCAATATATTTTACTATTTAATACTTATACATTTATACAATATTATATCAACTTTATATTAAATTATTAATTATCTACTTATAAATACACATATATTACTCCGTATATTAGTTATATTTGTTATCTACTTATAGTCTTATATATTAATTATCTACTTTTAAATACATATATTATATTACTTATATACTTATATTCCTTATCTACTTGATCTCTACTTATTATCTACTTATATTACCTATATTACAATTTATATCTACTTAATATACACTTTATATATTAAAGTATTAAATATAAGTGTATTACTCATCTTATAGTAGTATACTTATATATTATATACTATAAACTTTATATTATATATTACTTATACATTATATCTACTAATATAGTTGGGATTATATATACATTAGTTACATTTAATTAATATATTAAGTATATACATACATATATATATATATATATATATATATATATATATATATATATAGAGAGAGAGAGAGGGGGGGGACTTGTCATGTCCAGCCGGCCTGACGGGAACCGCCGTCCGGCCGAGGGCATTTTGGGCACTTCCCGGTGGAATTTTTTGATGAAATTTTTTGAGCATGTTCTTCATGAACTCTAGTTTATCCATACCAAATTTCAGCTAAAAATTCAACCGGGAAGGCACTCAAATAATTTCTTGAAGTTAACTGGGCAGATCGACACCTGCGAAAAAATTTGTAATGCTTTGGACTTTGGTATATTTTTTTAATGCAACTCAAACTTTTAGTCATGTTTATAAACCTACCTCAAACCATTTTATTCGTGAACCTGTTAATCTCGTCGGTGCTTTTAAGGAATTTGAGAATGCCTATTACGTGAGTTATTTTGCGGAATCTATGAAGGAAAAGTTTTTAAAATATTATGCACATATTCCGCATGTTTATGGTATTACTTCAAACATTCTTCTTTAGAAGAATGTTTGAAGTATTATTATCATGCTTTTTTGGTCCATTTCCAATGTATGACGAAGACTCAATAGATTCGAAAAAAGAATCCAACGAGGTTAGTGAATTATTTTATGGCTTATTTAATGAGTTTCATGCAGAATATGACAACGCGCCCCCTCCCCAGACACAAACATCTTTATCTAAAGGAAAATCAATTTTTAAATCTACATTTGTCAATCTTATGAAAAAAACTAAAACAACTCCCCAGTACTCAACAAAGCACAATTAATGGGATTACTTTGTATTTAACTTATGACGTTGATTTTGATGAAAATGAAGAATTTGACGTTCTAAACTGGTGGAAGGGAAAAGAAAGAATGTTCCCGGTTTTAGCAAAGATGGTTTAGCAAGTGCTATCAATGCCGGTTTCAACAGTTGCCGTGGAACAAGAATTTAGTTCGGCTGGCAACGTCCTTACGCAATCTAGAACGACCTTGAGCGCAGAATCTCTTAAGACGCTTATATGCTACCACGATTGGTTGAAGTCGACCCGTAGAGCTCAAGAAATGACAATCACCCCCTCCTAACACTTTATGGATGAATCAACTGAGGGTGGCTCTACCTATGCCGGAGATTCCGATTGATTAGTATTTTAAAATTTATTATAAATGTATTTCATGTTTTTAATTTATCCTTCAATTCTCAATTGTAATTTGTAAACTTGTAGTTCATATTTCAAATAAATATACATTCATTTTTTTATATGTAGCACTTCTCAAATTAATTAATTGATTATTAATTATATTATTATTTATTAGAAAATGCATTTCATATTGTTTTTTTTTTCTTAATTCTCAAATGTAGTTCCTATTTCAAATAAATGCACTTGAAGTTTGTTTTTAATATTCATCACTTGTATGAATAAGTAGCAAAATATGAAGAAGAAAAAAAAACTGACCCGGCCCAGCGGGTAGCCCGGCCCGTGACCCGGGCGGGTGGCCCGACCCGAACCGGAACCGGCCGAGGGACGGGCCGGTCTCGGGCCCACGTATTCGGAACCGGCGGCCCGACCGGGCCTAGGCCCGGCCCGGGCCCGAGTCCAGCACCAATTATAGAAATGGAAATTTCATTTTGGGACACCTATAAATGGAAAGTGAAAACTTATTTTCAAGATGGAGAGAGTATTATATGAACACCGAATAGAATCTAAATGGGATAAGGGTCAGTTTAGTCCTCGAAGTTGCAAAAAAGGGGTCAAATAAGTCCTTATATAGAAGATTATGTTCGGACGTGTCATTTGAGGTGGCTCCCGGTGAAATTTTTTGATGAAAGTTTTTGAACATATTATTCATTAAGTCTAGTTCACTCATACCAAATTTCAGATAAAAAATCAATCGGGAAGACATTCAAATGAATTTTGAAGATAATTGTGCCGTTAAAAGCACAGTTATCTTCAAGAATTCATTTGAATGTCTTCCCGATTGAATTTTTAGCTGAAATTTGGTATGAGTGAACTAGACTTAATGAATAAGATGGTCAAAAAAATTTATCAAAAAATTCCACCGGGAGCCACCTCAAATGGCACGTCCGGACAAAATCTTCTATATAAGGACTTATTTGACCCCTTTTTTGCAACTTCGAGGACCAAACTGAATCTTTACTCGAATCTAAATGACAAAAAACATAACTACGAAATGAATATTCTTCCATGAAAATTACAAAAATACGCGAATGTAATTGTCATCAAGCTGTAAGATAAAAACCTTTCTAATCTCAACAGACAATGTGGTTGTCTACATATACTACGCCTGCTAACCCTGCTTCATGATGTACCACCGCAATCTGTATGTCTTACCGCAATTCATCATGATGATACTTCATGACTATCGTTCTCTAAACCTGTGAAATCTCCATTTCAAATAATATGCAATGTGAAATTTAATATTATACGGAGTACAATTATGGAAAAAGAGTCAAGTAAGTCCTTCAAATTTTCACAAGTTAGCTAGCAATTGGATCCTCTAAGTTGAACAAGCTCCATTGAACCACATGATCTAAAAAAAATGCAACTTAAAGAAGTAAAAAAAGTCACTTCATTTTTTAGATGGGTGTGACTGAACAAATCAAATCAAGAAGACAAGAGAGAGGAAGAATAACAAGAACAAGACTGAAGAGAAATGGTGAAAAAACTAGAAGTTCACTGTGTATTTGACTTGGTTTCAATACTTATTTTGCCTGTTGTCAGGTCACCTGCGTCGATCCATCACCCACAAACTCCAGTAATCGCCGAGAAAAATTACCATATGAAAATAGCTTTCCTTAGCGCTATTCCCCTTTCCCTGGCCATTTTTCAAGATCCAAATATACCCAAACACCCAAAGAATGTGTAAGAGAAGAAAAGAGAAATGACAGGTCCGAGTTGCAGAGAACTGGAGAAGTTTAAAATACATTTCACTAGTAATCAGATTAACTTAACTTTTACAACATAATAATGTACTAGTATTATTTATTGACCATAGGTACCCGTCAATATTCCACATTATTTAGAGATATTACCCGAAATAGGACTAAAAAGGTTTGAAAATTCCGAAATAGGACTGTCATATTTTTATTCCCAAAATAGGAGTAATTACTGTCATATTTTGACAGTACAAGACTTCAAACATGGTAGTATTTTCCAAACTTGGCAGTAATTACTCCTATTTTGGGAATAAAAAACATGTCAGTCCTTTTTTGGAATTTTCAAACTGTTTTAGTCCTATTTCGGGAACTTTCCCCATTATTTAACAATGTTGATATTTTCTGTTGCAAAACATAATATTTTTTGACGTGGTATCTCCTCACGCTGGTAACGCCTTTAAGTTTCCTTTTTGAGACGATTAGAAATTTAGCATTGAATAGATTGTCAAGTGTAGAGGCCACTTCGTGATGAATTCAACTACATAGAACAGACGTAATTTTTTTTTGTGTGTGGTTAGAACTTTCGTTTTTGTAGTAATTCATATGTTACTAGATGAATTTACCGTGTCTGCTCTTCACAATAAGTTCAGATGAAGCTCCGGTACAGAAACCCAACTTAAGCATGATCTCTTCTAGCCGCATCTTATTAGTCAGGTATAGGTAACCAATCTGCAAAAGAACAAGAGTTATTCACTAACTGATGAGCATTGAGCATGTCCAAATATTCAAACCAAAGGTTCTCTGCTGATGAGTGCTGACGACCATCATTACATGTAAGTATTAAGAAACGAAGTACGAATCACATATTTAGTGCTTAACAACATAAAAGACTAGCATGTATTTCATGAATAGCGTTTTCAAAACTGTCAATCATTTTGTTACTCCAAATATGTTCAAAAAACTACTCAGTTATAACTTATAAGCACATTAAATATCCATAGTATACTTTGTATCCTTTACGTTAAGTAAGAGGAACTAACAAGGGTTTCAAGTGATGATGCTTTGTTGTAAATAGCAACGCCAGCACGTTTTTTAGTCTTTGTTTTCCCAGAACCAACATTTTTTCCCCAGCGAAGCACTTCCCTATAAATAAATCACAAAAAAGAAGCTGGCAAATGGTAAGATTATCCCACACGTGATCTTTTCTGGTACAAAATTGATGTCTTTTTAGTTTTCCGCACTTTAAGGGAAACAGACCCTAGTAAGTGCCATGCTTCATGAATCCCAAATAAGCACCACCCCATACTTATAATTATGATATCTAATACTACCTCTGTAACAAAAAGTCTTATTCCAACTTTTAAAGTCAACTTTACTTTTTAAACAAGGGCAACTGGCCAAATGGCAAGCGTTTTAGTCAATTACTCCAAACAACCTTTATAATGTATTTAGGGGTATAAGTGACCATTCATAACCTGTAAAAACTTGTACCTTGATTAAGTTGACTTTAAAAAAATTACTCAAACAGAACCTTTGTTTTATAGACTGATGGAGTTTTAGTATAAGGATTTCTCTTTTTCAACTTGGTTTTTGTAAACATACTCAGAAATTTTACAGTTGTTAGGGAATCTTTATTAAAATTGAGTGTTAAATACATATTAATTATCATAGATCTGCAAGTTCCACTTCCACCATGTGAGGAGATAATAAAACATTGATTATATGTCTATGTTCCAAGTAGAAAGATATTGTAAAAGTGCACAACTGACCTTTCTTCTTCTGATAAGGAATTGTCATTGATAAGTTTTTGCAACATGGCACTCTGAAATGTACCAATCAAAGAATTCACTATTCCTCGACGGAGGAGATTTAGACACCAAACAAACATACATTCAAGCATCCATTTAGTATCACTCATATCTGAACTTGAAGGCACCTATATGCAGCATAATGTCTGGGAGGGGAATTACAAGTTTCATAAAATTCGCAAATAGCTGGCAGTATGAATTTTCACGATCTTCAAGTAAAACAAGATTAGGAAAAAGAAAGTATTGATGAGAATAAGTGTAAAACTGTCAAATGTGAAGTATGCATGAGCAATAATAAAATAATGTCTATATCAACTATCAAGATGCTATTAGTGTTAGCTATGGTCCATTGGACATCAGTCACATCTAATAGATTCCCTCAAAAAGATATGCATATAGAAAAGGATGAATTAGTCATTAAAAAATAAAGAATAGACATACTTGAGTCTCACAACGAACTACTGCCATCACACGATCATTGTGTTCTTCAATGTTCAATGGTGGGAATAAAAAGTGCCTTCGGGCATATATCTGCTTACACAGGTACATTCAAATCAAAATTTTCAAATCTGCCTAGATGTGTAATTTAATTGAGTTCTGAGATCTTGACGTGTAGTTGTACTTTGTTCCTGCTTAGTACTTTTGACATGAAGTAATTAGCTTTTTGCCCATTTTTTCTACATGGAATTCTCAGGTGGGTCATATTATAGCAATTTTAGTCCTCGAGTATGAGGCTTTGATCCTTTGGTTGATCATCAGCTATTTCTAAGTCAAACAATCAATAATCTGATAAAGTTTCTGGTCAATGTGTCAAGTCCCACCCATTTCAGATTAGTTTATCAAATGATTGATTTGAATAGATGGAAAGTGTTGTGTGAAAGAACTGAAAATGTGAATTTGTGGTACAATTGAGGACTATAATTTTACAAACTAACAACAATGAAATAGAATGACTACATTTTGAACAAGTGAAGCTGTCAAGGACCAAAATGCAGATTCCCCTCAATGGAATACCGATTGTTGAAACCATGGTTTAAAAATTAGTCCAGACCATCCAATTCGATTAGCTATATGTGAAACTAGTTAGTCACTTGGTCCAATTAACTGAAGAATTAGCTCATCGCCTAAATGTAAAAAAATAGCCAAATATCACACACACACATGGTTCTTACAAATGTTTTAATTTTGAAGAAGTGTCTCAATGGTGAAAACTGAAAACGTTGGTGGAAGCTATGCAAGAATCATTAAATATAATTGCAGTGAACATAGTGCACTACAATACAAAGATTTCAAGCAAGCTGGCATATAAAAATAACACAGTAATAGAAAGTCTGTATTTTTTTGGAAACCATTTATTTCACCATGTTTTCACTTCACCCCATAATATTACTCAACTCCGTCTCATAAACAGAGTTATGTTTGACCAAGATACAACCTTTTTTTGTCAAAGTACACAGATTTCAAGTCATAATTGATACTTCTATTTTAGAAACTATAATTATAGATTACCCACATTTATATTGAGCTCTTTTGTTACTCTCTATATTGATAAATTTCTTACTCGGTATAAAATTATTTTCATTTCATATTTTCATCATACTATGTTTTGGACAAAAAGAACATCGAAACAAAACTCGTTTGCGGTATTCTTGTATGGGCTTGCGCACACTAAATTTCCTGACCATGAGACCATCATTTGATTCATTAATTTATTAAAAAAAAAATATTAACTAAAATGCACACCTCGAAAATGCTATCTCCAATATAAGCTAGAGATGCTGCATTGAAAACTGACCGAGGCTTCTCCACTTTTGGCGGATTCGGCAACCATGTCTCAAACCCAAGATACGTTTCAGGTAATTTCCCTGTCTCCCCCACATCATTGGCATTAATTAATGCTCAATTGAGTGAAAATTGCATCACCGACATATATGAAAGACTGCATGTACCGTGACTCGAAGTGGGGGCATCGCGTCTGAGGATATCTGAAATTGATATCTCCGGGCGGCTGTTCGCGGTGGAAATGATGGGTGGCGCTGCCGTAGAGAGTGTGCCTGAGCTTCGGGGATATGTGCGATGGGGATTGTAAGACAGTCTCTGCTTTGTGTCGACTGAAGAACTCCTCACCATTCGTGAAAGAGACAGAACGGGAAGAACAGAGGACATGGCTTCGGGTTTTGGGCTCGCAAGCCAAGTCTGAGGTTTTAAAATAGATGGACTCATCACTCATGGACTGGTGGGTGTACAGTTGGTTGGGTCATGACTCAAGGGAAGCATGCACAAACAATAATACTGAATACCAAACAGAAAAGGCCTGAAACAAATCAAACAGGAATTCTATGCGCTCCGGTTTTCAAGGAAAAAAGGTCAAATAAGCCCACTTACTATTGCAAAAACATCACTTAAGCCCTCTTACTAAATAAAGCATCATAGAGACCAATTTACTATCAAAAACCCATCAATTAGGCCAATTGACCTACTACCAACCGGTAATATCAGGTCATCCGCCCTTTCTCATTTTCCTTTACTTCATTTTGTTCCAGCCGTTTTTCTACTTCCCAACCCTGTTCTACTTAGTGATTTTTTTGCTTTTTCTTTATCTTCATTGTCACTATCATTTTGTGTTTTCTCTAAAAAAAACTGATTTCATTTTTTATATCTACTTTTTTCCTCATTTCGATTTTCATTTTTCTTTTTATTTACTTTTAGCCTTTTCTTTTTCATTCCATATTGGGATGTATTTAATTGAATTATATATTTTCAAAAACAAAAACAAAACAAATCATATCATATTAGAATTTGATAATCGTGAAATACACATTGTTGGGTTAAGGGCCCAAGCCGAGGCCCGGCCCACTAACCTTTTGAGGAGCCGCCTTCGAAGGGACGACCGGCGGTGGAAGGGCAGCTTCAAGAGCAGGGGCCCCAGAACCCTGAGCCAGCATGGTGGCGATTAAATGCTGCTCACCCTCAGCAGTTCGCCGGGCAGCATCAGAAGCCGAGGAGTTGGAATCTGAGGCGGGGGCATTCTTGGCTTTCGCCATCGCGGCTTTAGCCGCAGCCGCCTTGGCCTTCCTGGTTTTTAGACACTCAGCGTGATTCATCTGGGCTCGATCTGGTGGAGAACCTGCAAGAAACAGTAAAGGGTTAAAAGACGAGCGGAGAATATAACAAGACACTCACCTCGGACAGGACCGCCCGGTGCCCCGAGACGAGCGTCGAAGGGTGGAAAAAGTCCAGGAGCACGGGCGGTACCTATGCCTGCCCCGGAGAGTGCCTCGAAGGTCAGGTATCCGGCTATAGGGCAGACGCCGCCCTCCAACACCTTCTCCACATCCCAAAGTAGATCGTCGGTCGGCTCCGGTGACTCAATCTTTGGGGGATAACCATTCCACCGAACCGGGAGGGGAGGCCCATCGTATCTAAGGAAGAAGAAGCGGTTCTTCCAGTCGTGGATAGACGAAGGGTAGTTCTTGAACAGCTTCCTTCCTGGACGTGCGGCCACGCTCAGATAACCGCCGGAGTTCTGGGGAGTGATGCGGTAGAAGTAGTGGAAAAGCTCCAGAGTGGCAGTGGCTCCCGCTAGTTTGCAGCGCACCAGAAAGGCAGATATGAACCTATAAGAATTTGGCATGAACTGCGCCGGGGCCACCTGGAAGCAGTGGAAGAATTCCACATAGAACGGATGGAGCGGGAACCGCAGCCCGGCTTCAACGGAATCCAAGTGGAGCATGATCATTCCCGGACGTCTCCTCATCACATGCTCAGCGCCTCTCACGCTCCAGACGAACGGCGGGGGGAAGAAAGTACGGATTTTGTTGAGGGCCACGCGGGAGAGGACTTGGTCGTGGTCAAGGGCGCTCCTGATCGGGCAGATGTGGCGCTCCATATCCGTGGGGATGCCCAGATCATACACCTCCATATCGGAACCGGATTCGGCCTCCTCTCCAGAATCGTAATCAGCGGGACGCTCGTTCAGGGGGACTGCGTCAATAACATCTACTGCCCCGTCAGCATTCCCATCCCCAGCGTCGCTCCCACTACTTTGAGAAGCATCATCCGGCTCACCATCAGCCCGGATGGTCCCTACCGTCGTGGCCGAACCAGAGGTCCCGGAAATACTGGCCTTTCCGGGGGAGCGCGCACTCACATTGTCCGAAGAGGAGCCCGAGGAGGAACCCGACGAACCGGAATCAGAACTTGACGAAATCTCCATCGAAGTCATTTCGGCTAGGAATCAGAACAAAGAAGAGAAGCAGAGGGGGGAAATTACCTTACAAGGGGGTTAGCCGAATTCGGAAGCGGGGAAGAAGACTTGAAGAGCTGCGGAAAGTCGAAAGCAAGAGAGCAGAAATTGGGAACCCTAATTCAGAGGGAAAACCCGGCATTTATAGGAGAAACACCGATGGGGAAACCAACGAGGGGCTGACACGTGGCAAGGAGCGTATTCCGGCTCACGCGCTGTGTGTGGGGCGAAAGCGTAATGATGACATTTCCTCGGTAAATGATCCGCCGCTACAGCAGCCGTCACCTCGTTTCCTGAACCGTCGACAGCTGTTAAGCACCATGACCACGAGCGTACGCTTCCACCAGATGCAATAAAACATAAGTATCAAGACACGAACGTCCACGTCGAGGGGGTTTATACTTCCTTATGTCCTGCGCATGCTCAGAACATCAGAAGTGGGGGACTTGTGTTGGGTTAAGGGCCCAAGCCGAGGCCCGGCCCACTAACCTTTTCTTCATCAGACGTACGTCCAGTCAGACCACAGGGCCAGCCCGCAGGCCCATATCCCTGGGGGAGGGACGAACGTCTGGGGTTAGGAGTTCAGGCCCAGCGGCTCATCCCGACGAACGTCCATGCAGGGACAAGGAGCAGGACCACGGGCTACCAGGGGATGACGACGAACGTCCCCATGGCAAGCCTGTAGTCATCCGAGGAAATCCAGTCCACATGGAGAGGATCCACAAAGGCCAGGAGACGAACAGCCGAAACCCCTTGAGGATCACTTGGAGCGATCCAGCTCGCTTCCCAGGCGGACGAACGTCCCCATTGTTTAGGCGGGAAACCTAGATTCTGGCGGGAGGTGCATTTAATGCTGAAGATTTGGTGGTTGGGACACAAGCGGTCCACAGGCTTCCACGTCAGCGTAGCTACCTGCCCATTGACGGGTATAAATAGAAGCATTTATTTCATTGTAAAGGGTTGGCAACTTTCTATTCTTAGCATTCTAGCTATAGCATTCTTACCGGTAGCATCTACACTACCCCGTAAGACGAACGGCCGACGTGCCTTTTTAGCAAGTAGATTGTACTTAGGGGAGTTATTACGAAGTTAATAATACCTATTTACATTGCCTGCTATTTCTCTTGTTTCCTGATCCATCCGAAAGTTGTTGGGCTAGATATCCATACACTCACTCCATTCGAAATCTTTGGGCTTACGTGTTGGGTCCAAGGGTTGAAGGAATTAACCTCAACACACATAAATAAGTGTTTTACTAAATCAGATCAGAAACAACTTAAATAGACAATACCTGAAATTTTTAGTCCGATTAAAAACATGTTTTGCCTCTCACATCCTAATCACATACTTTTCTAAAGTTTTTAAAAATCTTTCGCGTAAACAATTTTATTTTGAAAAAAACGCTTTCACCGGTAAAAAATGTAAAATGATTTTTTTGGAAATGTGAAAAAAAGTGTAGAATACTTATCTAGTACTACCTCCGCCCGCTAAAAGGTTCCCATAGCAAAACGGCACGGTTATTTAGGTGATAATTAAATAAAGTACTTCGAGTATATTTTGAGAAATAATTTTAATAGGTATATATTATAATGTGTTAGTATTGATAACAGTGATGTTATAAATGTAATATTTGTAATATTTAATGATTAATTTGTCACTTAAGATTGTTAATTGTTTCCTAAAATGGAAATGAGAACCTTCTAACGGGACGTCCAAAAAAGGAAAGTGATGGGACGGAGGGAGTATGTAACATTTTTTGTCAGTGCCAAACTATTTTGTCTATAAATTTTGAATTTTATGACTGATTTTTGTTGTTGTATGGCTTAACCTTAGAGATGGATAAAAATTGTAGGTGTGAAGATTATTGAAAATGTGTACAAAAATCTATAATTTTTTATTGTGTTCAAAGTTACAACCTTAACAGTAACAAAATTACAAACACTTAACAGTGTTAGGATGTTTTCTTTTGGACTGTTTTCAGTCCTAGACCTGACCAGGTAAACAGACCATACCAAATTGAGACAATTATAAAATACACAGAGACAAGTGAGAGCTATAGAGTATTAATCTAGAGAGAAATGAGAGCTAGAGAGATAAAGTGAACAATTAATATTTCTCAACCCCCTATAACTACCCCAAGGGGGCTATTTATAGGGAAAAATGTGGTTTTGGGCTCCTAGCTTTGGGCGTAGGAGGCACATTACAATAATAAGACTCATATTGGTCCGAGTACATGATTTATTTGACCAAGTATAAAATCTATTATGTCGAGGCCTTTTGGGCCGACAGAGGACCATGCCGAAGGAGTGCCTGACTGACGGATGACCCGGCAGACGGAGGACCAAGTTCTGCTCCCGGTTTTCTGAACCATATTCTAAGTTGATAGGTGTTTGGCTGATGGAGGTACATCTGGCCGACGGAGGATCACGTGGGTGCCAGTTGTGCTTGTATTTAGTCTTTTGAGTATGTGGGCCATGGGGCTTAACCCATATGTTCTATCTCCAGACATTTATCATATCAGATTAGACATGAATAGATAAGATCAAACCAGCAATTACGCCCAAACGGAAAAAAAACCTTAGTTCACTTTTAATAGTAACACTTAATTTTAATATAAACAATAATGGAGGGAGTAAAAGTGTAATTTCCCTCAAAAAAAAAGAAAAATCTTGGAATTTTATTAATCGAGGAGCTCAAAGATACATAAATTATCAATTCGGGTCCTGAAAATGAAATGTATTAATATAGGACGAGAATGATGGAAAACTATCAATCTAGGACCCGAATGATTATTAAAAGCTATCAATATAGGACCTAACTTTTCATAAATTTTACGATTTTTTTTACTTTAAAAAAATTAAATATTATTTAGTTTTATTAAATTAATAAACTTTTGTGAAGAAAATGTCATTAAATATTAGCAATGGAATTAATAAAAAATTTAACTAAATCAAAACCTATGAAATGTAAGGTCCTAGCTGGATTGATAGTTTTTCATCATTCGGGTCCTATACCGATACATTTCATC